ACCGCTCAATTGAAAAGTCACCGGCCTAACACATAGATGGCGCTAATATAATTGAATTATTGTGAAATCCTAACCTATAAAAGGCGCGTGTATATATGTGACGGCTATTGGATCAATAGTTTGGGAATTATATAATTGAAGTGAAGTAACTTTAGTTATTGTAGTAAAAATTGGATAAAAAGCATCTTGCGCGTTGGAAAAATATTGCTTTTTGGACGAAAAAAATAGTTGAAACAAAGACTTTGCTTGATGAACAGTTTCCGGACACTGTCCCAGGATAATTAACTATCAAGATATTCTAAAGTTAGACTTGGTGAAATCCACATCGAAAACGGTGAAGACGGACGCCCAAAAGAGGTTGTTACCGAAAACATCATAAAAGTCCACAAAATAATTTTGGATGACCATAAAGTGAAGTTATWCGCGAGAGCAGGAACACCAAAGATATCAATACATTCATTCATTCATGAATATTTGAGTATGAGAAAGGTCTGTGCAAGGTGGCTGCCACGCGAACTCACTTCTGATCAGAGACAACGTTTAATTCGGAGAAGTATTTGGACTGCGAAGCCCAATCGACAACTTATCCGAATTGACTGCACACGATGATTCCGGYCGTAAGAGACAACTAAAACACAATAAGCACTATGGTACAAGATMTGACCGGAGACTTCATGCTTATTGGGTTCGGCCCTTTGGGGAGATTCGTGGTGGCTGTGGTTTAARCCTAAAGGYAGGTAGAATTGAAAATTTAGTTCAGATGCCGCACCCACAGATGACCCTTCCACCCGAACCGTAAGCGAAGTAAACACTTTTTTCTTTTCGTGTTACGTAAGTTCAAATGCTAAAAATGCGTATAAAAAAAATTTAGAAARTTATTGAATACCTAAATCGGGGTTTGTTGAGCCGAAACTGCTGGGTGTTGCTCTTGGGAGAGAATAATATRAAAACTCTATTAATGTTACTGTTTCAAAACGATTTTCATTCCTGACGGTTCCCTTAGACTTCATAATTAAAAATTATTTGCTTAATATTTTACAGAAAATCATTAAAAAAAATATTTTTTCCATTTACGGTTAGCATACCAATTATAAAATAATATTTTATATTTTTTATAACCGTTTTATTAAAATTCTACGATTCATTTGTGAGACGCGACTTTTGTAGACTTCAAACGCTTGGCAGTTCATTTGCGAATCGCTTTCTGCAAGTCATCACATTAATAAATATTTGCATAAAAAATATTTTCCTCGCCGATTTGCCGACTTGACGAGTGATTTCTATTTATTTGCTAGTTTTCAAATTAAGCACAAGACGCCATGTGGGAGGGTTACTAATCGAGACATTAAAAAAATAATAAAAATAATAATGAAGAGCGAAAATACAAATTGCGCCAAGGAAAGATGTGTGTGAGTTTAAAAATAATATTTTCATGTACTAAATTTGCGAGCGAAAGCGCAGTGCCAACTGGAATAACTGGACTCGAATCAAAACAAACACTTTTGACTTCACTATGTGGGATTAATGGGATTAATCTTATAAAAGTTAAAGAAAAAGTATGAGGAGGGAGAGATTAAATATTGAAAAAAAAAAATTAAATAAATAAAATAAAGGATAATATTGAAAATAATATTAATAGTATAGCACAATATTGACAACAATTTAAAAATTCCCCTAACATCGCATAGTTTTTGAATTAAATTAAAAAAAAAAAGAACAAAACAAGATAAAATATTAGTTTAGGGTCTCCGACGTTTCCATCTGATTATTATAAACTTCGTGGCAATCTGAGTATACCCCGTTCAGTGTAGAAAAACATAACCATAAAAGCTCATGCATATTGGGGGTTTGTGCCTTGCTTTATTCTACAGAAATGTAAAGGATGATCCAAGTCGACGTACTTTTTTCAATAATCTTTTTTTAACAGATCACGTGTGAGTCRTGTCAAGCTGTCAATATTGTTTGGTATTTCTACACAGAAAAACTTACACTTGGCTAGCGTTTACAAATAGGTCAACTTTATTACGAAAATCCACGTTCAGTAAAGAATGTGTTTCGCTTAGTTCAACATAATCGTACCTGAGCATACTATTCGCAACATCATTAGCCATCTTGAGCCCCAGCATTTATTACTGTATAATATTCGACCGCATAGACCACGTAATGTACATGAAGAGCCTGAAGAGTCAATTCGGCACCGTTCGCAGCAACTCGGACTGCTGGCGCATTTTACGTCGAGATCTTAAATTGAAAGCGTACAATACAGATTGTGCAAGAACTGATGCCGCTCGACCTTCCCAAGCGACATCGCTTCGCTCTATGAGCYCTTGAAAATTTCCAAGAAGATCTAACGTTTTCGAGGCAAATTTTGTTCAGGATTTAGGCCCATTTCWGGCTCGATGGATAAGTAAACAAGCATAATTAACGCACTTGGGATGAAGAGAAAACTGAAGAGATTCCAGCGCWGAAATTTCATCCAAAAAATAACGGTTTGGTGTGGTTTGTGGGCCGGTGGAATCGCTAGTTAACGATATCTTTTAAAGGATCAGTAGTATTCTGCTATAGTCGCATGCTCCAATCAACTTTGATCCATCATTTTAAACCCCTGTGAAAAATCCCTCTCTATTTCTTACTACAATTATTGAAATTAACCGAAAATTTATTCAAATGATTGTGGATATAGTGTAACTGTATACTATTAATTCACACTAGAAACTTAAAGTTTTTCAGCATATTTTGGACAACTTCTGCTCAACTTGGTGCTTTATGAATACCTAAGAAAATTTCGAAACGAGAAGTATAGTTATTCATTTTSGAAATAATCTTCAAATCTCGATTTAAGTTAAAAACCTGATTATTCACACTTTTGCGCATTTGTAGCCCATTTTTTAGGCAATTATGAAACGATTTTTAAAAAGAAGTAACT